TCTGAATTACTGCGTATGAACGAGATATTTTCATCTTCGGAAAGATCAGGCTTTTAGCTGTTGAATGATATGTTCTTCATGCCAAATGGATAAAAAATAAGCAAGTACAAGTCTGATAAAAAATGCTAGTCAGAATCGCATATTTTCACCGTTGTAATATGCGATTCTGACTAACATTTTTTATCGGACTCGTACTTGCTTATTTTTTCTCCACTTGGCATGAAAAACATGTCATTCAACAGCTAAAAGCCTGATCTTTTCAAATATGAAAAAAAATGTTCATACGCCGTGTAATTCAGGTGCAATAGCACGCTGAGGTTCGATTACCTTTTTTTATACACCCTGTAAATAAACATGACATTAACGGTTTCCCATTGGATAAATTTAATTGGATATAGTAATGTTTATGCAAAGGCGGAGCCAATTTGACAAGAGCGAAAAGTGGGCGTATTTCGTTTCTTGCTGTGTTGTCTGCGGTCCCTCATTTCTTCGAGGGACCACTCGCGGTGTAGAGTCTCATGGTTAATGCAGAGACTCGCTATATAACTTTTCTTTGGCGGTATCCCAACTTCTCTAAATAACTGGAAATACATTCAGCAACCCCTCGCAATGAATTTGACAGAACATCTAAAATATCTAGCGTCTCAAGATGAAGTATTTCATAATGGGAAACACTAATTATATTTCCATCCAGTTCCGTGAATTATTGACTGAACGAGAGGTCCGGACTGTTAGATATAAATAAGTTGTTTATCATATGGCTATAAAAACAAAATAATTTATTTAGAAAACTTAAACATTTGAAAACACAGAACATGTTTGTAATATAAACAATTTTGGAAGTAAAAAAATCGGCACCAACATATTTTTAGTTAATAATATTTGCTTTGGTACACCGAAAAAGCCGTTGGATGGCGGCAATGCTTAAGTAATTACTCTGCTGGCTTTACGTGTTAAAAAGAGTTTTTATACATGGGCGTAAACAAATTTTTAATACAAACTAGAGTATAGTAGGCTATAGTTTTAAACGTTACAATGATCACATAATATGTATCCTTTTCAAAGGGAAAGGACTAAGAGTTATTTCTATAAGCTTTACTTCGCGAACAGTCCATCTTATAACTGTCTTTACTTTGAGATAAGTGAGCGGTTCTTACTGTAGGTTACCGACCTCTCTAGAACCACTCAGAATGCGGCGTGTCGCAGATGGCCGCCTTATTGTCATATAATAAATATTAATATGTCTGCTTTTTGTTTAGTGTTTAATTTAAATTAACTTAAAGGAAGCTCGCCGTATTTGCAGAGAAAAGTATTGAGATGCTTATATGCTTTGAATTTGGATTCGTGTCAAGTAATTAATGACCGTTGTGGAACATCTTCTTTAAATATGTAATTTTGATAATTTCTTGTCATTCCCGACAGACATTCCGTGGAATATTGAAGAAACTTTTATTCACGTAAAGAATAACTACGGCAAATAACTCAACTATGCATTTATCGACAGTTTCAAGCAAGGTTCTTCTGTTTTCAATTATGTTTAAATTCGTTACAATGGTTATTGGAGCTTTGGGCAATATCGCAGTTATAATTTATTCAATTTTCATAAGCAAAAAGAAGACAGCGACATCTTATTTGGTAGGAAACTTGGCATTGGCAGATCTTCTTATGTGTTTAACATTTTATCCATTATGGATCATTGAGTTTATATTGACCATGTTGCACATTGACAGTGATCAGGACCTATTTTGTAAATTAAGTCGTTCTTTTAGTTGGGCATTGCTGTTCGCTTCAGTGGCTTCACTTCTCGCCATTACTGTTGACCGGTATTTATATATTGTAAAACCTCTCAAGTATCCGCTCATTGTAACCAAGCGACGAGTTTTTCTAGTTGTTGTGGGAATATGGTTAACTGTTTGTGGTCTTTTCATTCTGTTACAAGTTCACATTAGCAGTTATGGTTCTAAATTAAGAAGTTTATGCCATTTCATATCGGACCAATTTTTTTTGCTTATTAATATTTTTGTTGGCGGTGTTCCGTTAATTTTAACCTTTATTCTCAATTTTCGAATTTTAAATGTTGCACGGAAACAACGGAAACAGATCTTGACTGAAGCAACAGCAACCGTTAATTTTTCCAATGAACAGTCGCCCGAAAGACTGATTGGTATCGTTCGTTTTCTGGTCGGTTTGAAAGCAGCAAAGACATTTACTATTCTTGTCGGAGTGTTGACCTTCTGTATCCTTACACCAACCGTAGTTGGGATAGCACTAGAACATTCTTGTAGTCACTCATGCCTTCAAGTGTGGCACCTGGTTTTTCACTACGAATTTTATGGTATAAACTCGATTGTAAATGCTTTCATCTACGGAATGAGACATATCAAATACAGAAATGGCTATGGAAATATTTTTTTAAAAATACTCCGCTGCAATAAACTCAAAAACCGATGGATGATTCTGCCATAAATCTCACTAGAATCGACCTCTACGTTAGTTGTGGCGCTTTGGCATTTAGTTAAGAAGAAAGTAATGATAAATAAAAACGGAACTGCATGAAAACAGGCGTAACTGATTCGAGCATGCAACATTGCAACGTGCTAAATTATGAATCACTACTGTAGTTCAAAAATATTTTATCGAGAGGCAGATTTTTCGTCCTGGCTTGCAACACCCTTCCAAGAAATATGTGAAATACTTGGCTGCAATCAACAGTCCAAACTCTAAAACTGAGGGTTTACCATTCTCTCTTACAGAGAAATAATACCAAATCAGTTCGTGAAGAGAGTGGACGTTGCGCTATGAACAGAACATCCACAAAAATTAACCGTCACGTTATGAGACAAAGTTCCAGACCTCATCAAGCTTCTCCATTAAAACATTTTTAGGAACAAGTTACATAAATATATCCATTAGATAAACATTATACACTTAATGTCTGCACCCGAGGGAAATAGTTAGTTTTGTTTTCCCAAGAATCTCAATGTTTCCCGAGACGAAGTCGAGGGAAACATTGTCATTCGAGGGAAAACAAAACTAACTATTTCCCGAAGGAAAAGACGTTAAGTGTTTTGTTATATAGCGACGAAACAAATATCAACATTGAACAACATTCATACAACAATATATTTGTATTTCATGACAAAAACTCTATAGCGTAAACGAGTTTAAAATTTAAAAAACCTACTTAAATGGTTTCAGCAGCATATCCTGTTGCCTGTTATGTATTTTTCTTCTCTTTTACATTCTTTATTTCAACACAAAGCCACGAAAACAGTAGTTCTATTTTGTCATCAGTTACGTCACTAGGGAGTCACATGAGATATGCATGCGCAGATTGAGTATTCACTTTTGCACGTGTCGTTCAAAGTATTCAGTTGCAAGTTTTATTCATGGAGAATTTCGATTCAGAAAAACCGACTACCGAAGTATCGCCCGGTCAAAGTGAGGAAGACGACCTCTTTGTCGAATGGGCCCGGCTATTACAGAGAAACTCGCTACCATAATCAATAAGCGTTGGTCTGAAAAACTGAGCGATCAAAAGCTGAAAGAAAAGCGGGATCAATACCCCCGCCCAGACAACTGTGACAGACTTGTGGCGCCACGCATTAACCCAGAAATCTGGGCGAGAATAGACCACACTGCAAAACAGTTGGACCTTCGCGCCAGCACAAACCAATCTAATCTGGCCAAAGCAGGAGTTGTCCTGGCAAAATCAACCGACAAACTTCTGTCACTTTATCAAAAAGACTCGAAGCCCGAGTACCGAGAGCTTATCACACTCAACACAGACGCCCTTGCTCTACTGGGACACGCGTTGTGTGAAATGTCACAACGAAGGCGGGAAACGCTAAAACCGCATCTTAACAAAGAATACACGACCCTTTGCGCCTCGCATGTTCCAGTTACATCTCTCCTATTTGGGGATGACCTACAGGGTCAACTAATAAATATACGAGCTACAAATAAAGTTAGCAACACAATCAGTGATGCGAGAAAACAATACAAAAATACACAACAATGGCGACCACGATCAGATTACGACAATACGCAATCCCAGTTGCAATATCAATCCTCTCAGCTCTTTACAGGTGAGTAACCTCGCCTTAAACATTTATACAAATCTGAAATCATATTTTCAGACCAAAATTGTGCATTTTAAGAGTGGTCAAATATCAAAACACATTGCCAAATGGCATGAGATTACCTCTGACCCAGAGGTTCTAGGTTCGTGGACTTCACATTGAATTCTCGATCGAACCTTATCAATGACAAAGGGTATAATAAAAAAATCACAACATGAGCCGGGAGAGTATATCTCCCCCATATTTCTAAAGGAGAAAAAAGATGGATCATACAGAATGATCCTCAAGCGACCAAATGCTCATGTTCAATACCATCATTTCAAAATGGAGTCAATTCAGTCAGCCATTAGACTGCTGACACCAAACTGTTTTATGGCATCATCGATCTGAAAGATGCGTACTATACTGTGTCCCAATAGCGAGCTTCCACCACAAATATCTAAAATTTGAGTAGTATGGGTCACTGTACCAGTTTACTTGCTTCACCAATGGCCTAGTAGCCCACGCAAGTTCACAAAACTAATGAAGCCAGTACTTTGTTACCTCAGGAAATTGGGTCACCAATCCTCCCTTTACATTGATGACTCATTACGAACAGGTCAAACCTATGATGACTGTGCAGCTAATGTGATTGACACAACACAGCTCATAGACAACTTGGGGTTTATAGCTCACCCTGACAAATCTGTTTTCATCCCCACTCATGAATTAGACTATCTTGGTTTCACACTAAACTCCAAAACTATGCAGGTGACTATAACACCTGGAAAGAAGTTGAATCTCATAGAAACATGTAAGGAACTCCTTACGAAAGAATACCCTACTATCCGTGAGGTTGCTAGGGTAATAGGCTTGCTCATCTCAAACTTCCCAGGTGTTGCAATGGGACCACTACATTACAGACTTTCTGAAGCTGACAATGCAGCACTTGAACATAACAAAGGAAAGTTTGATGCCACTGCGCACCCTCGGCTGAAGCCAAGGAAGAACTTGTGTGGTGGATAAATAACATTGACACTGCATTCAACCCAGTGCATACGGAGCAACCTAACATAACCATACATACAGATCAGATGCTTCAAACTGAGATGGGGATGTGCACTGGGTGACAAAACAACTGGTGGACTCTGGGGCCAAACTGAGTCTTATGAACACATAATTTACTTAGAAACACTAGCAGTCTTTCTGTCACTTAAATCCTTTCAGCATATTCTAAGTGGCAACTATGCAATGATCATGGTGGATAATACCACTGCTGAAAGCATCATTAGAGAAATGGGAACCAGCCTATGTAGTGCTAGATTAAATCACCTGGTAAAACAAATTTGGCAGTGCTGTGAAAGCCAGAAAATATGGATAACAATGACACACATACCAGGGATTGAAAACTGTCAAGCAGACTTTCAGCCTTGGTCTTTCAATTGGGGGACTGAATGGTGTCTTAGTTAACAAAGACATACTTACTTTGGCATGTAACATGCTCCGGTTTACCCCTGACATTGATCTATTTGTTTCCAGAATCAACCATCGTAGCATTTTGACCAGACCCTGAAGTAATTGCCAATAATGCCTTTCACATGACATGGACTCAATTTGCTCTCTATGCTTTCCCACCATTTAGTGTGATAATGTAAGTGCTACAGAAAGTCCAAGAAGATCAAGCCTCAGGGATCCTAGTGATCCCATATTGGCCAACACAGATATGGTGGCCGAAACCAATGAACATGATTGTCCAACAGCCAATTGTCTTACCAAAAAGCAAGGAACTATTATTCCTCCCCAACCAACCCAACAAAGTATATGGGACATGAGCATTGTCTTAAACCACCTTAGTCTAAAATTGCCAAAGAACTGTTACTGAAAGACTTAACTCTAAAGCTCGTTATGCTAATGGCACTTTTGTCTGGGCAGCGATGCCAGACTCTGCAATCATCAAGTATTGACAGCATGAAACTTGGTAATGATGAGTGTGTTTTCCCATTAACAAGCTACTGAAAACCACCAAACCTGGTTCCAAACCACTAAAACTGCTTTAAAAGGCTTTTCCTCTGGACAAACAATTATGTGTCCCACATCACCTGTTGGAATATATACAACGCACAAAGGGAATCAGAGAAAACACAAAACAGCTCCTTGTGGCTCACCAAAAGGCAAAGTTCTACAAAAAGCCCATCATTGACCAGGACACCAATTTTGGTGAAACTTTATTAAACTCTGTTTATGTTTATGTTAATGTTTAAACTAACATACTGTTAGACTGTGGCATATACCACACAAATTTCTAGTTGTTATTACGTACACATTGGTTTTGTACTGTTATACAATAAATCTTTGCTCCAGAATTTGCAGTGATTGCACGGCTTTGAAGTCTCATGTGACTCCCTAGTGAC